TTAAAAATACAATTTATAGATTTTTTTTTTCTTTTATAACAATAAATAATGCTGTAAACATAATGAATGATGCTGTGAATACAATAAATGATGCTATAAACATAATGAATAACGCTGTGAATATTCATAGACAGAAATTCGTCTGATTGGCTGATATAGATCAATTGCCTGGGTAACTTATTTATATGCTTTAGAGTACTTTTCAAGAACTCAAGTGTTACAAACTAACACAGCAAAAATTTTTGTATATTTTGCTTCTTTAGAATGTCAAAAGACTGCCTTTAAAAATAATCTCTAATAATCTCTAATTTAAGTAGTGTTAGCTTAGTAGCGACTTTTTAAAATGGGTATAGAAAAGAAACTCCAGGGACCATGCGTTATCAAGATCTGTAAGGGAAAAACTAGCACTTTGCGAACCGTTACTGGACTAGTTCTGTCTCAGGAAACAAAGAGCAAGACTCTACCTGATTATGTTAAAGAAAATAACGTTATTTGCCTTACTTGTTATAATGCAATCGTTGTTAACGCATCTTCTGAATTTCAGATGCATGTGTTAGATTCACATTCTCATATTGAGGCAGAAATCTCTAACCAACCTACTTTTTTGTCTTTTTCACAGGCCGTAGAGCTGATTACAAACGTTCTTTATGAAAGAGAATATAATTCGTTATCTACAATTTGGGATTTTGAAGAATTTCGTATACTTATAGAATCAAAAGACGAACGAATAGCGCCTTTCTTTGACGAATTATTGCTGTCAATTAATCTAGAAACAAAAACCAAAAATACAATGGATAAAGTATCAAAACAATTATTATTTTTATATTATTTTATTTGTAGCATTAGGAAGATTCTACTGGAACACCTGATTCAACAATTGATACTTTAGTGACATTAGGCATGACAATGATGTCTCGTTCAATTGCTTACTATAAAGATTCTGTATCTAAAAAGCACTCAACAACTGTGAAAAAAAATCTCAAAGATAATTCTAACGGCGCGCTGCTTTTAAATATCGACGATTATCATAATATTCATACCCTAAGAATGCTTACTCAACCAAGACATCTAATTCATTACATTTCGTTACTATTTTGCTTAATCCAATTAGAACTTAACCAGCAATTTCAGGCCTAGATATTCACAACCACGCATTAGTTGATGCTCAATTAATCAAAACTAAAATTGAAATTGGTTTATATCGGTATATTCACTTACCCATAATTGACACTGGGGATTTCGCTTCGTGGACGATAAAACAAAACTCGAAGAATTGACGGTCTATAGTTATAATGTTCGTTTGAAAGAAAAAAGAAGCTCAAGAGCAATAAAAGATGCTATGCTTGTGGATCTGTTTGAAAGTGGCCTTCATACAATAGAAGATTATATTAAGGCTATTAATACTGCTGTATCTGTTCCAACTATAAATAGATATATT